CCCCAAAACCCCAAAACCCCAAAACCCCATTATATGAACTTTGATTGAAATATACTCTGGGGTTTACAAGATGGTGATGTTTTAACATATCTATCAGGAGCCCACCTTGAATATTTTAACTACCCATTCCTTGTTAAACAGAGTAGTTGTTCTTAGCTTAATCTAGTTGAATAGCTTGTAAAGGACTGGAAGTAATCATACACAATTCAAGTCCAAACTGGATCTTAAAAATTCTAGAAGCTAGCTATCTTTAAACATCATGATAATATGCACGATGATGAGATGCTAATTGTTATTAACCTTCATTGGTTGGTTTAAACTGTAGAGAGGTTTCAAGAGAACAGATATTTCTTTCTAACAATGCTCAAAGAAAGCAGCTGCCTCATCCTGAATTACGCACTTTCAGATAAATATTTAAACGATTGCGTTAGCATTTATTGTTAAGCTTTCTTAAGAAGAGATCTCTACCCTTTTGTGTTTGAGGTAACTGTCAATCATTGAGATCATCTCCTCGGTTGTGTAATCAAAGTTGAGGCCAGCTTTAACTCCTTTGAGGGCAATTGCGTACAAGTCATAAGTTCTGGCAGCCTCCTGCTCTCAAGCAAAGATATCGATATACTTCTTGGCCCTTCCAATGTTGATTAGAGCTTGCCAGTGAACATTGTTTTTAGAAACTCCGATGTATTTGGATCTTCTGTTACTATTGCCTGGCAAATTTCCTCTTGCTTTTTTAGGTGAACTGTAGAATGCAGGAATCCCTTTCTTGAGAATCTGGGCTCTGACTCTGATGAGCTTAGACTTGATTTCAAGCTTTGTAGAGCGTCTCCTTCTCTTTTTAATAACTTCAGATTCTTGTGGGCCGTTTGGGGTTTCACCAGTCTCTGGTAGATTCATTTGTTCAGGCGAATCGCTTTTGATATCTTCGGATTTTTGGCTGTCTCTTGCTTTTGCAGTTGAAAGTGAGTCTGTTTGCTCTTGCTGCACAGATGGACTATAAATACTGAGTAAGAACTTGATAAGACAGAGAGATATAACAAATTTGGTTGCTTGTCAATTTCTAAAATAATTTACTTAGTTTCTCAAAAAGATTTCAGATTTTTCGAATATGTGCAGCCCTTTAGGTCTTGATAACTTCCGAACTCCTTGAGGTTTGGAGAAATTTGTTCCATTGGCGTTTCTGTTCTTCAATTTACTTCCTGTCAGACTCAATAAGTCTGGGCTAACTGATAGATCACCCCTGCATATCCTCACACCAGAGCATGATTCCATCTGGAAGCGACTGAGTTATCTGCCAAGTTAGATAAATTCATAAAATATTATTAACATCTTCGTTTCCAAATTTATATATCTATCAAGACCCTCTTTGGATTTCAAAAAGTGTTTGAGAACCAAGCCAAACTCTCGTAATTATTTTTATATCGTAGCAGCAAGCTTATAACCTAAAATTTAAAACTTTGGATCAGCCAAACAAATTTAAGAAAGAAGCTAATAATAGGATAACTTTTAGGTTTTTAAAGTTTTCCTTGTGTTAAGACTTTTCGAAAGAACTTAAGCCTTGCATAGAAGCAGCCGAAGAAGGTTTTGATACATTTTCTAAACTAATTATGGTATAAATTGAATTCAAGAGTAAAAACCAGCTGAATATTTGTCTCAAAATCTATACTCTTCCACTAAGCATTGCTTTCCAGAGTCTTACTTGTATTCTAAATTCAGGGATTCAGAGGTCTTATTATAAACGAAACAAAGATGAAGCATAGAGAATAACTCCTCTCAAGCATGGAGTATAGTTTATTCCAAAAACCTGGCTTAACTCTTCACCATTTCAGTTTCTTCCATAAAGTAACACAAAAATTTAATCGAGGAGAGATTTCATGCAGTTTCCATACTCTCCTTGCTGAAATCGGTGACCCCGTCTCATCAAGGTCAGACCCTATAACTAACAGAGCGGCCTTAAATAGCTCTAGAACAAATTTTAATTGCAAATATTTCACTCATGAGAGTCTTGGACAGACTCTATTCTCCAATAACTTTATGAGACTTCATAAATTTTATTCGAAATAATCTGAAACCTATTTATGGAACAACAGGTTATTTTAGTGCCAGTGGCTGCCTTCGCATCGCTTTCAGGGTGATACGAAGGAGATATGCTGCAAGCTCTAGGACTATTAGAAGCAATGACTATTGGAAGGTTATTTCAAGGTTATTAAGAAGTCCTTGTTTGATTTTAGGTATAAAATGGTGACCCTATGATTTAGACTTGGGTACTTAAAAATTTCATTTTTGGTCCAGGAGCTAATGTTTAAAGAGGAGCAATGCTTAACATAGCATTTTCTTGCAAGGTGTGGCGATTTTTAGGAGAAATTGTATCTGTAACTCTAATTTTGAGGGTTGATAAGGATCTCAAGGTAATAAATGTTTGAGAAATATGTGAAATGGACTCACAGAACTTGAGAAAGACCAACTTGATTTAGGAGAGTTTTGCTCAATATTGAATTTTGAAACTCCTCTACTTAATTTTAAAGAAAGGATATAACCCCCATAGTGGTCTTGACTTTATTCCTAACCATCCTCTGTGATACCAGGAGCCATTCGATAAGAATTCTGAGAAATAAAAAATAACTTTGTTCCAGAATTTTTCGAACTTCCATATGAATTTAGATATTTAAAACAAAATTTTAACTATAGCACTCAACAAGTAAAAATGCTAAAGTCTGTTAAGGCTGAGCTTATTTATAGAAGATAAAATCCCGGATTTTAGCAAATTCTAACATCAGAATCGCATCTTTGGTCATCCTAAAAAGCCCAATGACTCAGAAAAACTCAAACAGAACTTTGAGTGCCAATTTTATTAGCCTAAATTCACCATATATTTAAAAGTTTTGAAGCAAAATAGGCATGACTCTGCTCCATATTTACAGCGGAGGGCATCTTCAATGTGAGAATTTATTATTGGGGTTTTGGGGTTTTGGGGTTTTGGGGTTTTGGGG